CCCCAAAACCCCAAAACCCCAAAACCCCAATATTTGAGACTAGGCTTGAATTTTAGTTAAAACAATGGGATTTCATCAAATATTAAAAAGAAATATTAATGAATTATGAAATCTCAGTCGGAAATACAAACTGTTTGGCTAGCTCTTCCTCTATTAGATCTTTATTATGCAGTAACAGATCACTTAAAATAGAATATTCAGGGATTTCATGAACACTTCACCCATAAATCTGAGCGTTCTTACATGTAACATCTTCGTTCTCTTTAATAACATTGGATGTGAAGATAGCATCTGCAGGGTTATCTTCTTTCTGCATTGGTGTATCCTGATTGGAAATAATAGTCCTGCTCATTCGCTCAATATTGGCAATGCCTTGAGCGAACCCGCTCTGAGTTTTCTCCTCAAAGGCAGCAAATCACTTCTCTATGCATTGTTTATCGTTAATTTCTAGTTTCTTATTTAATTTCAGGTATACATCTCTTTTCTCTTGAGCTTCTTTAGCTGCTTCTGGCTCTAAATTCTCTTCAAAGATTAGGTAATGGCAGCTCCAGTACTCGATATTGTACTTCTGTAGGAAGACATTTTCAAATTCAGTGAACAACAGATGGAAAGTAGAGCAGTACTTCTTGAAATAGTCCTTGATTTTGGAGAAATACCCCTCAACTTCATCCTTAGGCTTGAAGACAAGGCTTTTTAGGCATTTTAGCAGCCTGTTGACATGGATATCTATCCCTTGGTTGTACAAACCCAGCCTGTTTGCTCTTTCAGTTAGGTATTTGAAGATGAAATATGCTCAAGTCTTGAACCGAGCGTCTGCACTGAATACTTGAGTCGCTCCCTCTACTAAGTCAGGGTCTAGATCAAGGATTAGCTCTTCTGTTTGGAGATTTAGCTCTTTGATAAGGTAGTCAAATGCTTCTTTGAAAATTGATGCTGTTCAGCTCTGGAATAGTAAGCATCCAACCGTGACACATAAGCCATCAACGAAGCAATGAATCATTACCACATCTTTCCACTGTGGTTTTAGTATTTGCTTATATGAGCAGTTTAAGAATAGTGTTGGACTAGTTCTGAGGACTTCCTCTTGTGTTGGAGAGTAAAGATATAACACATATTGCTTGACCTCATCGACTTTAAGTTCGAGGAGTTTTCTTCCCAACCTTTGTCCATCAAAGCTCTTCATTTCCTCTAAATCGTTCTTGTCATTGATCTTGACTGCTAGTCTACTCCTCATTTTTAGAATTAGATTGTCCATCAAGTGCTTGGAAAGAAGGTTCCAGTCTGTCCCTAAGCTCAAGAAGCAGTTGATAAGGTCATCTTTGGATAGCCTAAGGTCCTTCTCTAGTAATCTCATCACTACTTTCTTACATTGATCATAAGTTACAATGTAAGGAAGATCCCCTTTCATATCCAAAAATGGGACAATATTTAGGGCTGTCCTTGCAATATCTCTATCAACCTTTAGAGATTTATGGTATTTCTTCGGTAAGGTATGGGCTCAGTGCTCTAGGCCATAGCCAGCTACGTCTCTTTCATAGATGTTCCACTTTCCAAGGCACCCATTCTTAGTGTCAGCTCATCTGTAGCCATAACAATTCTTGTTGCTCTTGCTGAACTCATAGATATACCCGTTCCTAATAAGCAGGGCATTTTCAAGAATACGCCAATTCATGATCTTGATTTTCATCCGCTTGGCACCAACTGGTTTGTAAATGGAAGTCTCACCAGTGGATAATAGCCCCATGTTCTGGTTCACACTACGCTCATATGAAGGGGAGTTTATTACAAATTGGAGAACCTTCTTGTGCTTTAGCATATTCATCAATTTATAGGCAGCTAATAAGTCGTTAGTATCATTCAAGAACGATTTATCCCTCTCATCATCAACATAGTGGATTGTCAAGTCAAGGCTGTGCTGAAGGTCAGGAAAGCACTTGAAAACTGACGATTTTAACTCATGCAAGTCCTTTGGATTCCGAGATAGCACCTTGACCTTATTTTTGTATTTTATTTTGACGGTTAATCCCACAGGAACTGTGATATCCTGGGTCCTCACACCTGCTATTTCTGCCAAGTTATTAACAACATTTGATAACACAGGATTTGTACATATCAGATTACCTAATTTGAACTCCATTCTAGACCAAAATTCATCACATATTTTCAGCAGGAAAATCTTTTGCGAATTAATATAATTTTTGTACAAACTCTTTCAATTTTGGGACTATTTTGAGGGGTTTTGGGGTTTTGGGGTTTTGGGG